CCTTCCCAGGGCGGGGGGCTGTGGGGCTCGGGGTGCTCCCAGGGCTCGGCCGGCTCTTGCGCTGCCACTGCGCAGTGTAAACAGACTAAAAATAGCGATGGTATGTTTCTGGCCATCAGCTGCAGTCGTTTTGGATGGGCTTTGTGTGTCTCTTTGCCTCCAAATGGCTATATTTCTAATATCCGGCCTGGGCGGTCGCGTTTGGGGTTTTTTTTCCTGGCATCACTCGGTGCTCGCAGAGACGGTAAACAGAGCAGCTCCCGGGCGCTGTGGCCTCCTGAGTCTTAACTTGGGGGAGCGGGGAACAACCCCGGTCCTACACACACACAAAACTTCAGGCTTGAAGTTTCACAGGAAACAGTTTGCTTATTTTTAACTTTCACAAAACCACCTGGAATGAAGTAACCCTTACGGCGGCCCTTGCTTGGTGTCGATTTTAAGCAACGCTGGAGTAAATAACAAAATGCTTCCTGAATATTAGCTCTGATGGAGCCTGGTTTCTTAAAGGCTCGCGTCCCTCCAGCTTCGTTAGGCTCTGGTGGCCGGTGTGCTGCTGGTTTGCAGGTTTCCCTGTTGCAGAGTGATCTGTAAGGTCCCTGCTTCGCTTCGCAGGTCCGAACCGTCTCCCCGGTGCAGCCTTGCCCTCCGAGGGGATGCTCCCGGCCCTTCTCCTTCTGTCTGCTTCTGCAGGACCAAAGGATGAAAATTCTCTTTGAGCCTTTTTTTAGTTTTTTGGTCAGCTCTGGATGCAATTAGCCCCAACTCTGTTTTTCTTTAGTATGGAATTTTGTCCAGAAGCTGATGGAGTAGTTGCAGGGGGTGGCTGGAAAGCACAGCATGTGAAAATGTCGGTCTCTGCAGGTAGGCTTAAGTCAGCACGCTTCCGTTTTAAGGAGAGTAAATAAAGTGTGAGGGCCAGTAATGTCACCTGAGCAGCCAGGTTTGCTTCCAGGGGGGGACTTTCCACCAGTGCCGTGTGAAAACGTGGCCGTTATGGTACCTGCCTGCTACCCAAGCAGTGTGTTTATCAGGCAGGCAGCAGGCGTAGGACTTGTTATGACCAGACAAGCAGGTGGACATCGTCCTAGCTTCGGGACATGTCTTCTGCCATGGAGGTGGCCTCGCTGGCGAGGTGGCAGCTTGGGGACGGCTGTGGAGCTGCACATCAGTGCCTGGTCGGGCTTCTGGGACAGTCCCAGCTGGGCACTTCTGGCTGGGTCTGCTGGAGGGCACTTGTGCTGTCACTGACTTACAGCATTAATTTGTGCCCAGCTCGCCGTTAGCAGCCTTTTGCTCGGGACAGGTCCTGCCCTCACGTGTGCGCTCAGTGGGAGCGATGTGTGTGCACTCGTGGTGACGTCCAGGTCGGCGATCTTCAAACCAATCTGCACTCTAGGACCAGCTTGCGGGATTAGGACCTAATAGCTTTAAAATCCCCGTGAGCCCCTTTGTCACCCGGCACTGGGTGCTGATGGCATATATGGGCAGGGCATCTCACTTATCCCTGGCACAGGAAAGAAAAACCCCGTGGAAAACAACCCACCCAAAAACTTGTTACTGCAGGGATGGTTTCAAAAAACGTGGGGATTTTTTTAAAAGTTGTAGTATGGAAACAACCAGCATGTAACTTTCTCTGTATCCTTCTTTTCTCCCCTCAGCTGGAGGTTGGCAGTGATGAAGAGCGAAAATTAAATGTGAGGTAAGCAGAACTACTTGGCTCTAAACTTCGTTTCCACTGGTGTTAATTGTCTGCCGTGTAGCTGAGTCCTGACCCAGCACAGCACTCTGGCCTCGAGCGTGTTCGCTTGCCTGGAGGGCATCGCATGGTCTGCAGGGAGCTAAACGCTGCGGATGCTCTCTCCCTTATCAGTTTAGTTTTAAGACGAGCGTTTAATGAACTGAAAGCATAAAAGAGGGTTTTGTGGGGTTTTTTTTCCTGACGGGAAGAAACTGGAAAATTGCCGTCAGCTCTGGCCACAGCACTGAACTGTTACCACGGCGCCTGTCTCTGCTGCTGCTCTCTGAGTTTGGGGCTCTGGGTTGGGAAGGGGGGTACGCTCCTAGGGGAGAGCTCTGCTCGGGGCTGGGTGTCAGCCACCAGGAACTGGGCTCCTTTGATGCTGGGGTTGTGTGGAGCCGCTTGCTTCACGCGAGGGGGAGGAAAGGGCTGAGATAGCCCGCTGGAGAAGAGAAAGGCTTCTCTTGCTGACGTTGTGCTGGGATCAGGAGTAGTAATGTTGGATGGCACCGTGGCCTAATGGGGCTCTGGCTAATTATGGGGGTTGTTCACTGTAAACCTGGCTGTTGCAGGCAGCTCTTGCCCTCTAACCTGTAAACCGTAGTCCGAGATAAAGCGTGAAAACACGACGGTGTTTCAGCAGGCTTGGTCTCTGCTCCTTGTTACAACTTCCTACTTTAATCATCCTGGTTTCAGGTAACAGCAAAGCCACTCGTGCCACTGCGTGGAGTTTGATCTTGTTTCCATCCCATCTTACGCTTTGAGACCTATTGCAGAGATACGGAACTGAGACGCTGGTGGCAGTGGGATTTCTGTTGCAGTCTGCTGGACTGAGACTAGGACAAAGCGGAGTCGGTTTGAAATCTGGTTAACCTTGTGGGTTTGGGAGCAGCGAGTGGGTGTTGGGGTGTCGGCTGTCTTTACCTTGCGAGCAAAGTCAGAGAGCAGAAAAGCAGAGTTGCTCCTGTACAGAGCAGGAAGGTGTCAGGCCTCGCCATTCCCGTGCCCCGGGGGGATTTGTCATGGCTGCAGCCCCTCTGGGAAGCCTGGTCTTCGGTGACTGTCCTGCTTGCATGCACACGGGTCAGAGGTGTTTGGTTGCTGTATGTTGTATGGGCGTTTGATGGTGGTCTGTAAGGTCATTCCTTAGCTTGTTTTCTGGAGAGCACGTTTGGTATCGGTTAAAGCAAAACCCAGGACTCCTGGTTCTGCTCCCAGCTTGGTTGTGGGGCTGGTTGTGCAATGCAAGGCTCAGGCAGGAACCTGCTGAAGTCACGAATAGCAACGCATCCTTCATTTGTGTGCTCTTTCCCATGTTGTGTTAAACAGTAACACTTAACTAGGCCGATGATAGTCTTGTCTTTTGTGTATATGGTTCTTGTGCTGAAAGAGGAAATCCAGCTTTATCCCTCTTCCTTACAAATGACCTTGATGACAACGTACAGATAGATCGCTGGGTTCGTGACTACCTTTCCTCTGGCTGGGTGGCCTTTCCGCGAGCCGGGCGTGTGCACCCATCACTGACCAGAGCAGTCGTGGGGGTGGAGGTGGTGAGACTGGGCTTGAAGGCTGCAACTTGTCCACTGGCTGTTGACAAATGCCACAGCGCTGACTTTGGATCCCGAGATCCCAGGAGCTTCCTCTGTCCTTTGGTCTGTTGGGGCTGCTCTTCCATATGCAATTTTCAGCATAAGAATCCGGTAATGGAATCTGTAGAGGGACCTCGAGAATAGGAGGGCTCTTGTGCAGAGCCTTTGCTACACTCGGGGGGGGAAACACCACCAAGGACTGAAGGAAATGTGTGGCCGCAGCGTCGCTGAGAAATGAAGCTCCTCTCTCGTTGTGTCGCCTTCCTGCCGGGAGCTGCCCCGGATCAGCGCACTGAGACTTTACCCGGTGCCCATGGGGTGGCAGAATTGTTCAACTTCATTGTGCTGCTTCTCCAGCAGCTGACTTCAGATCTCCACTGAAATAACCGGCAGGAAGGGGCTGTGGTGATGTTTGTGAGTCTGTAAATCCTGGTCTGGCCTTGGTGGAGGCTGAGGTGACAGCTGTGCTTTGTCACACGCGCCCCGAGTGCAGGGGTCGGCAGGCCAGCGCCTGACCTTGCAGACCTCAACGATCCTAATGGTTAGAAAAAGGAAGGGGTGTTGGAAACAAGACCCCGTCTCGCTGCCAGCTCAAACTGCATTTCGTCAATAGAGGATGAATCTGCTGTTGCACATTTATGACATAACTTGCTCATCTACTTGCTGAACAGATTATTTCATTCCAAAAAATTCCAGGATTTTCATTCCAGACTGCAGAGTTGGATCTGGTTATATGAGCTGTCTGATTTTTTTTTTCTTGGAGGAATGGGTCGGTGTCATGGTTTTATAAGCAGCCGCATGTCTTGCTGCTCTCTGGTCTGAGAGCAGCAGACCTTCTTTATGGTTTCTGTCATTCCAAGATGCTTTTCTTTCTGTTTTCTCCCTGAAACAGCTTCTACCCTAAAATAGGCTGAGGCGACATGCTCTTGGTTCAGCTTTTCTTTCAAAGATATCGTTGCTATCTGTGTTTTCTTAGGCATTAATGTGCTTTAAAGTCTTCCTTTTCTCTCACATTCCAAAAATTGTGCAGAAGCCTCGATAGGGCAACATCCACACTGTTTCCAGCAGACAGCCAGGACTCCATTTTGCTCCGCAGCACGTAAAGATTCGTAAGAGAAGAAAGAGAAGGAGCACAGACTCAGATCCAGCAGCCCAGTTGGGCTCAGTGCAGCTGGTGCAGACAAAATCTTGCACGTCTGATTCTCTGCGTTACCTGCGTCTGCTGAAATCTTCCTTCCTGAATGCCCATCCGCCATGGGATCTTGTGGCTTGATCTCTTTTCCCTAACGATGCAGCATGCCCACCGTGAGCCATCTCACCCAGATCTTGGTGGAACTGCTGGCGTGGTTACGTCAGTCCATGGGAGTATGCGTTAGCTTAGAGTTAAGCACAGCCTGAAGTTTTACAAGGTCCACTGAGTTCGGTGCGAGCCTTGCGTGCACGGTGCCTGCCACCTTCCCGCAGAGCCACGTCGTGCTCAGAGCAACCTCAGAGAAGATGGTATCGAGCGCGCGGGAGGCAGAGAGCGGAGCTGAGCTCTTCTCAAGCAGGCTGCTCTGGGAGGATGGGCTATGTGCAGTTTTTCCTACCCTGCTTTTTGGTGCAACCTGCTTGACTTTCACCGCTCGCTGTTGCTTGGCTCTCCAGCACCAAGTCAAAGCAGATGTTGTACAAAGCCAGTCGTGTTGTGAGTGTTGGCTGTTTCTCAGACACGGTTGGCAAATGCAGCAAGATAATCACTGGGTTTAGTTACAAACACAAGTCAGTGTGTTTAGCCAGTCATGCCGTAATCTTTGCCTTTATTGGCTTTCCAATTGCAGTCTGAACGTGATCAGAAACCCGGCCGAGTGAGGGTTTTCAGGCACCTTCTGCAGGGAGAGGGGGCTAAATGGCTGCAGAAGGCCCTGGGAGTTGTCTCCAGGCTCTGACCAAGCCTGAAGATCGTTATACAAAGAAATGTTCTTGTTTGGCACCACTAAACCCAATTTTAAGAGCTGGCAGGAGCAGCTGTGGGAGGTAAAGGCTTTCAGGACTGAGCTTGTACACATTTGCGGAGTCTCTTAATGGCCTCTCCGTGCTGCGTGGCCATGGCCGTGTGTGAAGTGGAGACCCTGCGCTGAGAGCGCTGCCTCGAGCACGCTGAAGGGAGCAGTGCTGGAGGAAGAGGAGGAGGCTGGGGGTCTTCCTCTCTTTGCTGATACCATCAGTGTGCCTCGCCAAGTCACTGGATGTTCCCAAGCCCCTTCCTCCCACCTGCAGCCTGGCAGACCACTGTTAGCTCAGCTTCTGAAACGCTCAGAGTAAAGTCTTAGGCCTGTTTGGTTTTATTCAGCGTTAAAACCTTTCAGCTGTAAGAGTCATATGGCCTCTGAGCTCTGAGGAGCCCACGGTTGGTTGTGATGGGTGAAAGGCACCGCGTTCCCCTCGCTTTCCACCTCGCTTACTCGCCTCTGGGTTCTGTGCGATTACCAGGTCGGGAGCGAACGTGCTGTGCCGCGCTGGGTTGGTAGCCAGCTCTACAGTTCCTTTTGCTGCTGTTTTTTGTTGTAGTTTAATGAAGTAAAGTACTCTTCTCTTCTGAAGGCAGTGGAGTTACACTGGGGCTGGGTTTGACTTGGTTCTGCGTTCGCTGCAGGAATTAGGTGGAGCCCTCGGGTCGATGAAGACTCCCTTTGCAGCTCAGTGATCAGCAGGAGGGGTGATTGCTGCAGGCAGGCTCTACAGAGAGCATCATCCCGGCCGGAGGAGGCTGC